AAGGGATCATGAGAAATCAATCCACTGACTGCTAGATGAGGCAAAGAAGAAATTAAGATTGACTGGAGTAAGTGAAAATGTACAAAATAACACAGATGATATAAAAAAAGTGTTCACAGATGTCATGGCAGAAAACTTCCCTGGTAGGGAAAAAAATTTGACATACAGCCAGGCATATCATAGTCAAGATTCCAGAAACTAAACACAAGAATAAAATATTAAAAGCTGTTAGTGAAAAGAAACAAACTACCTATAAAGGAAAGCCCATCAGAATCACAGCTGATTTTTCAGCACAAGTCAAGGAGAGCTTGTAGTGAAGTATTTCAAGCTCTAAAGGAAAACAATCTCCAACCCAGATTAATGTACCCCCAAAACTATCTTTGAAAATTGACAGAGAAGATACTATCAGGACAAACAACAACAGTGGAAATTTATGACCACCAAACCAGCACTCTAAAAAGTGTTGCAGGACTTTCTAGAAAGAAATAACAAGGACTACAACTCCATGAACCCCAATAGAAGGAATCCACCAGGCAAGGCAACCAATTAGAACAACAGAGAGGAAGAAGGAAGGAAAAAAAAGGAGGGAAGCCAACAAAAGGAAAATAATGTGACAAGGATAAATCAGTGCACATCTCTTAAAACCAATGTTAATTATCTCAATTTACCAATCAAAAGACACAGACTGGCAGAATGGATTAAGAAATAAGATTCAACAATATGCTACATTCAAGAAACACATTTAATTCAAAAACAAATTTACAGACTGAAAGTCAAAGAATGGGAAACAATACTCCATGTGACAGGAACCCAGAAAAAGCAGGGTTAGCTATTCTATTGGCAGACAAAGTAAATTTCAAGCCAAGATTGATTAAGAGAGACAAAGAAGATCATCACATCCCTGTAAACGGAACAATTCAAGAGGAAGAGATAACAATCATAAATATATATGCACCAAATATCAGTACACCCAACTATATGAAACAAATATTAATAGACATGAAATATCAAATAAACACTAATACAACTGTACTGAGGAATCTCAATAGAAAAAGACAGATCAACGAGACAAGAAAAAGCAACTATGAAATATCAGAATTGAACCAAACTTTTCAACAAATGGACTTAGTAGGTGTCTACAGTGTTCCACCCCACAGCATCAGAATACACATTCTTCTCAGCTGCACACAGGATGTTTCCCAGAATAGACCACATACTAACTCATAGAACATGATTAAGTAAATCCAGAGGAACTGAAATTATCCCATGCATATTATCTGAGCACAGTGTAATGAAACTGGAAATCAATGACAAAAGAAACCACAAGAACTTCAAAAGTACATCCTGAACAACCAAGGGTTCACAGATGAAATTAAAGAAGAAATTAGTTTATATAATTAAATGTTAATGACAATAAAATGTACCAGAACTTATGGGACACAATGAAATCAGATCTAAGGGATATTCATAGAAGGGAACACCCACATCAGGAAAACAGAGCAAGTGCAAAATAGATGCAAAAATCTTCAATAAGATACTGGCAAACAGAATGCAGAAAAATCATCAAGTAGATTATACACCACGACCAAGTGGGATTAATCCCAGTGATGCAAGGATGTTTCAACATATGTAAATCAATAAATGTAATACACATTAACAGAGCCAGTGACAAAAATCATATGATCAACTCAATAGATGCAGAAAAAGCTTTTGACAAAGTCCAGCACCCATTCATGATAAAAACCTTATAGAAAATTAGAATAGATGGTCTTTATCTCAATCTGATAAAAGCCATCCATGACAAACCAACAGCAAATATAATCCTTTTTTTTCTTGAGATAGGGTCTCCTATAAAGTTCAGACTGGCCTTGAACTCACTTTGTAGCCCGGGCTGGCCTTGAGTTTGGAATGATCCACCTGCCTCAGCCTCCCTAGTGCTGGGATTACAGGCATGTGCCACCACATCCGGCATCAAATATAATACTAAATGGACAAAAAACTGAATGCTTTTACTCTAAAATTAGGAACAAGACAATGATGTCCACTGTCTACACTCTCATTCAACATAGTTCTGGAAACTTTTCCTAGAGTAATTAGACAAGAGTATCATTCAGCCACAAAAAGATAAAACTGGAGACTTTTATAGATGTATGGATGCAAACTGAGTCCATCCTTAAAATTGAAATAAATCAGACTAATACGTGCAAGCCTCATATTATCTCCCTAGTGTGAGAAGCTGAAAGAGTAAGATATTATAAATGTATATTAATTCTGGAAATGTCATGTTAGCCTTCCAAAGTTTTTTGTTCCTTTTCAAAATGGTTTTAATGATTTCAAATCTTTCATTTTAGAATGTTTCTTGAGAGCTGGGTGTGGTGGCACATACCTGTAATCCCAGTACTCAGGAGGCTGAGGCAGCAGGAGCATTGCAAGCTCCAGGCCAGTCTGGGCTACAAAGTGAGCTCATGGCCAGCATGCACTACATAGCGAGACCCTATCTCAAAAAGACCAAAAAAAAAAAAAAAAAAAAAGAGAGAGAAAAGAAAAAGAAAAGCAAAAAACAAAACAAAACCAAAAAAACAAAAATGTTTCTTTCTGTATATAGGTCTTGTAAATTTTGTAGTGAGATTTCTCACTATTTTGTATCTATTTATCTTTTTTGGTCTTTTTGAGACAGGGTCTCACTATGCAGTTCAGGCTGGCCTGAGCTCACTTTGTAGCCTACTTTGGCCTCAAACTCTTAACGATCCTCCTGCCTCAGCCTCGTAAGTGCTAGGATTACAGGTGTGTGCCACCACACCCAGCACTCTTTTATATTTTAATACTCTTGTTATTGATGTGTTTTGTTTCCCTTTGTTACCATGGAGTGGAAGTACTGTTGCTTTTCAATAAACATGTTTAAAAAAAGAAAAAAAATATGCTTTTAAAATTCAAATGTACTTAGCACAAAAAACATGCACCCATGTTCATAGCAGTGCAATATGTAATTGCTAAACTGTGGAAGCAACCCAAATGTCCATCCACTGAGGAATGGACAAAAAGTTGCGGTACTTTTACATAATGGAATATTACTCAGCTATAAAGAAAGATAAACTCAGGGCTTTTACAGGTAAATGGTCACAACTAGAGACCATACTCATAAATGAAATAAACCAGACCTCCATGTGTAAGCAATGTACTGTGTAAGAACCTGAAAGAGTGAATAAAAATTAGGCGGGTATGATAGATATTGTGAAACGAAAGGAAAATGCTCAAAAGTAAAGAGCAACTGGGATGAGGGAAAAAGACAAAAGAAAGAAGGGGAAATTATGTATGTATGTATATACAGGATAGCTAACATAGTTGTACTACTGACTTCTATCACTTTACTGAAAGGACAGTTAATGATTACTTATTTGATCAATCTTGCATGTGTCTATTTGTTTTCCTGAGAAACCACTTTGAAGATACCAATATGTAATACAACAACCATTGTTAATTTCCTAACACTTTGTCTGTATTTCAGTATTGCTTGTATTGTTCTTATGATATTTTGTAAATGGATGTCTGTTTGTTAATCTTTTCCTTCCTTTATCTTTAAAATAAATTTAAAAGAAGAAATTATAGTTTGGTTTGTGATGTGTTTCTGTTTATATTTGGGATTGTTTTGTTATTTGTCATCTTAGCAATTTCAAATTTTTTTATCCTCAGTTGATTAAAAAGCTTGGAAGCAAATGTTATTTGTTTTCAAGATTCTTTAAAGTAGTCTTTATTGATAAAGTAAAGAGAATGACTTTCTAACAAAACACTCTGACGCTGATTTCTAATTTTGTTAGTTTTCTAACAAAACAGTTTACTCTTTAAAGGAATAAATTCTTTAACAATGATATTCCTTTCAAAAAGAATAGTTTAACTTTCAAAATGTCACTTATGTGCCAGAACACTGACAGCTAAGTGAATGTTGTCCTGCACAGTGATCATGCTGGAAGGTTGTTTTCTAATGCCAGCAATCTACCATCATTCAAAGCCTCATGGGTTTGGTCTTTTGGAATTGCATTCAAAGTTTAAGAAACACAAATTATTAACTTCTTGATTACACACTCCTTTAAAAAAATAAAAAACAGCAATGCCAGTATTTGGCACCAGGTGACAGTTCCCCAAAACTAAGTCCAATTTTGAGATAATGGAGAAAGTACAAACCTGGCTTTGAGGGCAATCCCCCCAAAAACTGAAAGATGTTTTATGCAGTAGTAGTGTAGCTAAGACAGTGAACTGTGGCTTTCTAAGGTGACTACTTTCAGGAACTCAGCTCATTTGAATGTACTGAGTTTGGGATGTATTCGTTTCATTTTTTTAAAAGGTTCACATTTTATAGTGTCAAAGGTAAGAACTAAGATTAGTATAATTTCTTTGGTTTTTCTATTGATTGGTATATAAAAAGTGAATGGCAGTTTAGAAAGAAGACTGCTATAACTTAAAAGTGACAACCAAGATTTTTTGGTCATTATACCAGATCTCAGAAACAGTGAAAGGAGCATGGACTTAAGCCATGCTTATTTAGTTTTGCCAAAATCTTACAGAAATATGCTATATATATTTATACTAAAAATACAATCTTTAGATTTAGGAAAGCAATCAGTTAATGCCTTTAGCAGGTTTAAGCAGCATTAAATACACGTTTAAGCTGGAAATTATAGAAAACTGAAGGAGAACGGAAGACAAAATTAACATCTATCATAGGGTGAATTAGAATTTTTTAAAAAGGCAAAAAAAAGAGAAAAAATAAAAAAGGCTGAGGATGTAGTTCGGTATAAAGGCCCTGGGATCATTCTCCAGGATTGCAAAATAAACACACACAAGTACACAACAATGGTTAAAATTTTTCTTTCCATGACTAAGAATGATAAAACTAAAATAATGTTAATAACAATCAAAAGTCAATTTTCAGATTACATTCAACAGATGAAATGAGGCAGGAGTTTATTGTAAAAGTATTAAAATACAACATACTTAATACTTACTTTTGTTCCAGGAGGCAATCCTTCCAGTTCTCTAGGCTTTATAAATGTACGATGTTGTACCTTGTGATCTGTTTTCTCCTTGCATGTCAAAAACTGTAATCTGCATTTTGAACAACGATGAATTCCCTTTTTCTGTGTACAGAAAATAATAGAAGTAATAATTTTAACCACCATCCTGGTACCTGAAATTGCTCTTAACTATAATATCTAAGTAATTTAAAAACTAGCGTATTAACCATTTCCCATCATAAATACTACTACAATATTCTTTCATTTTTTTATGCTGGGGATTGAACCCAGAGCCTTATGCTACCACTAAGCTAGTCCACCAGCAGTTCTTTTTATTTTTTTGCTACACTGAGAAGTGAACTCAGGGTCTTGCATATACCAAGTGAGCACTTCACTACTGAATTATATCTCTAGCTCTCTTTCTTCTCTCCTTTTTAAAACAATCCTTGTCTGAGGTAGGCTCTTTGTTAAGCTGCCCAGACTAGCCTAGAACCTGTGATCGTGCCTAAGCCTCTAAGCCTCCTGAGGAACTGGGATTACAGACATGTACCAACAAACCCAGCTTTTATTTTGTTTTAAAAGTACTCATTGCATTAGTATTAGTTTTGAGTTTTAAAAGTACTTGTTACCCTATAAGGATCTGTTACGATTTGTGTCTAGATGTCCCCCCAAAGCCTCATGCAGTCATGAGGTGGGCTTTTAGAGTTTTTGATGGATTCATGGTCCAATGCTAGGATTGTGGGT